CCCCCGCCTGCCCCCAATAGCTTGTCAAGTGAAAGGAAAGATCAAGGTGATGCTCATTTGTTTTTTGGATGTGAGGGGGATGGTGCATTTGGAGTTCGTTCCACCAGGTCAGACTGTTAATCAAATTTTCTATTTAGAGGTGCTGAAAAGATAGTGGTAACTGTGTGACAAAAAAGGCCTGATTTGTGGCAGTTGGGGGACTAGTTTTGCCACCACAACAATGCACCTGCTCACGCAGCCATTTCAGTGTGCCAGTTTTTGGGAAAAAAACCCAGCACATCTCTGTTACCTGACCTCACTCCATGCGATTTTTTTTTTTCTCCTGCAAATGCAGAAGGACATGAAAGGACAGTGATTTGAGGAAACAGAAGAGGTGAAGAAAAAAAACAAATGAGGGACGTGCTGTCAGTCATCCAGATGAGTTTGAAAAATGTTTCCAAGAATGGAATTGCACATTGACCAACGTATTAAGTGTAATGGAGAGTACTTAGAAGGTGATAAGGTTGTTTTGTAAATAAAGGAAATCAAATACATAGACTTGTATGTATTGTATTTAGAGAATGAAGGTTTTTTTTTTTGAGAACTTACTACAGTGTAGCCAAACCTACCCATCGGTTGCCGTTGGGTCATTTTGGACCCCCAGCGACCGTGCACGTGCGCCCGTGTGTCAAAGGAGGCCGTGGTTTGTGACCGCTGACGTCTCTGTAGCAGGTCGCCAGGCCTCTCCTAGCACGCAGTGCTGGGTGGATTGCGAGCACCAAAGCTTTGGGTTCACTTTCAAGCACACTGACTTACCCCGCCGGTTATCTCTTGAAACACGTTACCTCTATGTTGCCTCGCCTCCCCGGTGTGGGTTCATGCCTTCCCAACAGCCTGCCCATCAACAGGAGCTCTGCAGACACGGTGGTTAGAGCTGGGCTGCAATCTGAAAGGTCGGCAGTTTGAAAATCACCAGCCATAACATGGGAGAACAATGAGGCTTTCTACTCCCGTGAAGAATTACAGTCTCAGAGACCCACGGGGGACGGGGGGCAGTTCTGCCCTGTCCTACAGGGTCATTCGATGGCAGGGAGGTGCTTAGCCATGCAGTAAGGCATCTCCCTCATTTTACAGATAAAGAAGTGGAGGCCCTAAGAGGCTGCTCTCTGCGAATGGCTGGGGTGGGAGAAATCCCAAGTGGGGCCGCACAGGGCTTCTTGGAGCTAGAAGGCTCGGGTTGGGGACAGTCTCTGTAGGCACCCTGAAGGTGACGCCCGTCCATAAGCATAGATGGCTGAGGTGTGTGATCTCTGAAATGGGGGTTGGTGTGTTGGAGCGTGTGAGCCTGCGTGTGCGTGTGTCTGAATGCGTGTGTAATCTGCGGAGTGTTAGTCCGGGCGCACAGGCGGGGTTGGCTGTGCGTGTCCGTCTAGGATGTGTGCCCGAGCCAGCGGGTGTCAGCGGGGTCCGTGGGCCCCGCCCCTGGCGCCGCCGGTGGACCGGCCCCGAGCCCGGGACTACGACTCCCAGCATGGCCCGGGCGGGG